GAGGGGTGGTTTGAAGTTAGGCTCCAGACCTGGCTTGACCCAATAGGGTCAAGATTGTCAGGGAATTCCTGAGAGTCCACCCCCACAGAAAGCCAGCCAGCATTCTCATTAAGGTTAGGAGTGAGTGTATTAAGTATGGATGCTACTAGTTCCTACCCTCTTTTGGAGGACCATTTGATCCAATTGTTAAAATGTCAGGGCATAATTATCAGACATAGGATAGATAAGGACTTCTTGAAAACTACACATAAAGCCAGCCCTTGGTTTTTTGGTCTCTGGTGATCTTAATTCCCTCTATTGGAACCAGGTTAGAGTGGACCTACAAAAAACTTTACATAAAGAAGGGTCAATTACCATGCCAGCTGTTACCTTTTCTCTGTGGTGTCTTCATTTATATCCTTAGCCCTTCGCTCGGGTCGTTGTGAAGTGTTGTAGCACCATAACCGTGAACACTGGCTGGCTACACTTGCTCTCCTCTCTTCTTCCCTGGACTCAATCTTCCTACTCCCCCATGCCCTCCTCTCCCCGCCTCTTCTCCCCTTCTCTTTCTCTTACCTCCCTCTCCCCTCTCCCCATGCTCCCAATTAGCTCAGAAGATCTTGTCCCTTTCTCCTCTGGGAGACCATGTATGTCTCTCTTAGGGTCCTCATTTCCTAGCTTCTCTAGTGGTGTGGATTGTAGGCTGGTAATCCTATGCTCTACGTCTAAAATCCATATATGAGTGAGCACATATCATGTTTGTCTTTTTGTGACTGGGTTACCTCACTCAGGATGGTTTCTTCTAGTGCCATCCATTTGCCTGGGAATTTCAAGATTCCATTGCTTTTATCCACTGAGTAGTACTACATTGTGTAAATGAACCATATTTTCTTTATCCATTATTCAGTTGAGGGGCATCTAGGTTGCATCCAGGTTCTGGTTATTACAAATAATGGTGCTATGAACATAGTGGAATAGATGTCCTTGTTGTATGAATGTGTATCCTTTGGGTATAAGAGTGGAATTGTTGGATCATGTGGTAGACTGATTCCCATTTTCCTGAAAAAAAAAAAACGCCAAACCGATTTCCAAAGTGGCTGTATTAGTTTGCACTCCCCTTTCTCCACATCCTCTCCAGCATAAACTGTCATTGGTTTTTTTGATTTTAGCCATTCTGACAGGAGTAAGATGGTATCTCAGAGTTGTTTTGATTTGCATTTCCCTGATGTCAAAGGATATTGTGCACTTTAAGCCATTTTAGATCCCTCTATTGAGAATTCTCTATTTAGTTCTGTACCCTACTTTTTAATTGGATTATTTGTGTTTTGGTGGTTAGCTTATTGAGTTCTTTGTAAATTTTAGAGATCAGCCCTCTTGTCAGATGTGGGGTTGGTGAAGATCTTTTCCCATTCTGTGGGTTGCCGTTTTGTCTTGTTGACTGTGTTCTTTGCTTTACAGAAGCTTCTCAGTTTCAGTAGGTCCCATTTATTAATAGTTGATCTCAGTGCCTGTGCTACTGGTGTTATGTTCAGGAAGTGTTCTCCTGTACCAATTTGTTTGAGGGTACCTCCTACTTTCTCTTCTAAGAGGTTCACTGTGGCTGGATTTATGTTGAGGTCTTTGATCCATTTAGACTTAATTAACCAAACTTCTATGTATGGATAGTTACAAAGAAAACTCCCCCGAATTACTATGATTTAAGTGTACTTCCTGTTTCCTTTGGGGACTTTGGGGATTTTGCCAGCACTTATCAAAACCCTATTGCATGTATTATATACACTGAGTGTTCCTTACTTGAAATTCTTGAGACCAGTAGTGTTTCAAATTTGGGGTTTTATTTAGGATTTTCAAATATATAATGAGCTGTCTTGGGAATGGGAACCGAGTTCAACACAGTTTGTTTGATGTTTGGTAGGTACAGCAACTGAAGGTTATTTTAAACAGTGTTTCTGCTGTTTGGGCAGCAAACCAGCACATGAGATCAGGTGTGGGATTTTTCTCCTGGGGTAATGTCAGTGTTCAGATAAAAGTGGATTTTGGAGTGTTTTGAATTTCACGTGTTAAAATCAGGGATTCTCAATAAATTTGAGGGAAAATATTTTGTAGGGGATAAGAGATAGAAAGGTCCAAGGGAATCAGGACTGCTGAGAATGGATTTCAATGGTTAATAGATTGTTTAGGATGAGCCTTATAGACGTGCTAAAATTTGAACAGATCTCTGGAACTCAAAATTATCCAGCTGGATTAGCTGGGTCAATACTCTCTCTCTCTCTCTCTCTGTGTAGGGGGGCATTCCTATCAGGTTGTATGGTTGGAGGAGAAGATGGGCAGGCCACAGGAGGCGCTGCTGATCAACTCTTGTACACATCGAGAGGTGGGGGAGGACTATTGACTATGAGCTCCAGGCAGAGAGGCTCAGTTTTTGCCTCCAGGAAGAGGTTCTCTCTGCTTAAGGAGTAGAGATGTTCAGGAAGTGAAGAGCACCAAATACGCAACTCAAATTATTTAGGATGCAATTAGGTTTGGTTTAATAATTAAAAATACTTTTAGAATTTTCTTTGGCAGAGATCAGGCTATTAATTAGCATGTCATGGGAACCCAGCATTTATTATTCTCTCAAAAACTCATTTGTGGTAGAAAATGTGCCGAGCCTCATTTGTGAAGATAATTATAGATGATATCTTTGGGAGTGTCTGCCAAGTTCCTAGTGATTTCCCTTTTCTCTGGGAGCCGACTCCAGAACCTACAGGGTGAGTCCTCTGCCCACATCTCTACAGCACAAGCATTCTTCCACTCCCAGCTCATTGGATCAGAGCTAGAATCATTAGCAAAGATGAGCCAATAGGATCTTTCCTCCACAGGAATTTGGAATCCCAGCTGTGGTCAGGCCACTCTGCCCATTTGATTGGATATATAAAATTCAAATTTAGGTGGCTCTGAGGAACAGAGAAAGCTGATCTTTGGGGGAAATTAAAGCAGATATACAAAGGAAAGCTCAGGCGATTTATAGAGTTCTGACTTCCATAACTTTGCTAATTCTAGTGTATCACAGCTCTTGGGTTCAACAAAACATCCCCACATCCTTATTTTTTTTAAAGATTTTAAACACACACACACACACACACATGCACACGTGAGTGCACATATGCACACGTGAGTGCACGTACACACACGTGCGCGCGCACACACCCAAATAAAGGAAATCACAATTAAAACAGGTGTAGACTGGAAAATTCCATTTTGTGCTGATTTAATCCCTGGTATTGAGAAAGGCTCATCATGACTCTATTAAGCTGATGTTCAAATGGATGCTTTGAATATATATCTGCATTTAAAAAACCTGAATAGCCCCTTGGCCAATCAATGCTCAGGAAAAGCATTACCATGCTCTGAGCCCATTCAGAGTCTAGAAAGAGTGCATGTTCATTTGAGTCTTGTAGTTGTCTTGTCTAGCTTTGGGTGTTCCATAATATCTATTCCCCATATCCTTATAATTCAGCACACTGATGTCTGTACACTTGGTGCGCTTCCCCTCCAGCCTCCTTTCATTCATTCACTCCTAGACTTTTGTGTGGTTCTGGTCCGTGGCTGAAGATGTAAGATTGGGCAAGGCCGAGTCTTTGCAACCAGATAATGTGTCTTGATTACTTTTAAGGTGCTTTGTTGGTGTGTGGGGTATAGTGCCAGATTCTGAAATATCCAAGTCCTCTTTTGGAACTTGGGGGGATAAAACCCAACTTTAACTTATTCAAGATTGGTAAATATTAAAATTATTCTGAGGACCAGAGAGTACTTATTTCTCTGGTTGTAGTGATGTCTTCTGTTTGAGTTAGCCAGTGTAGGGCTTCACAGGGACATAAATACTCCTTTGAAGGAACACATTTATCTTAAGAATGAAACCACCTTTAGGGTTGCTCAGCTAAACTAGAGATTACTCATAATTTTATATTAGACATAGTTTTATTTATCCTTAACTTTTTTGAGCTAAATAATATTTTTGTATTTTCTAACATTTTTTGGAACTAAAGGCTCAAGTAGTAATTTTGAGCTTCCTAAGAAGACAAGTAAACAAGACCAGGTGGAAACAGAAACAGTCTTCAGCAAAGAGGTTCATTAGCCCCAGAACTAGTCTGGGCATCTAGGTGAATTGTGGAGCAGGTAGGGTGTGGCTGGCTCCTTTTCTCTCTCACAGAGAGCCCCATGCCTTCTGTTATCTGATGCTCATATTTCCAAGAACCCACTCTGATTTCTTTCCCTTTCTAGAATGAGATGAGACATCTTATTAGAATTTATACTATGCACAGAAACTTCTTGTTCTGATGTCCCTAATCTCCCCTGTTCCCTATCTTTTAGACAGTGTCTCATGATGTAGGCCTGGTTGGTCTTGAACTCATGGAGATCTGTTCTCATCTGCCTCCTAATGCGAGGATTAAAAGCATGTGCTACCACACTGGTCCCCGTCTCTCCAACTTCAACCCCTGCTTGTAGCATCTAGGGTGATTAAAGGACAGGGTAAAGGGGAGATGGAGATAACTTTCGCCGATGATTACAAGTATCCAAGGCCTGGCTAATGGCATTGGTGTGTCTTTTGGCAAGTTACTTCACTCTCTGAACCATATGCAGAAAGCAAAGAAGACAGCTTCTTATATTGAGCTAAAAAGCTACATGAATGATAAAGAACAAGCTGCCTAGTATGGTGTTTGACTTGAACAGTTGCTGTTCAACTGACAGTGGCAGTTGCTGTGATTTTCGAATAATCACTCAACTAAGTGCTGGATTTGGGTCCTTTAAATCTCTAGCTGAGTCCTTGTTAGCATACTTTTTTTGGGGTTATGAGCCTCGAAAGTGACACCACTGCTAAGAGAAATTCTAATATTGAGGTCTTTGCAACTGTCAACATTTTTTTGTAACAGCATTTTCATTAACAAGGCATTTAAGGTTTTTTTTTGTGACCATAGATAGAAAGAGATATTAGCATTAAAGCAAAATACATTCCTTAAGAAGACTTAAATTCATCTTACTTGAATTCTTCGGGGTGGATGCCTTTTGATAATGCTTGTTTCTTCATGTTTCAGTGGGATGTCAAGAAGCATGGACCTGGATACTTGAAGGATGGGGGGGCAATAATAAATCATTAAAATCAATTTATTGTTAAATTAGGTGTCCAGGTCACTGTTTAGTAATGATCTATGCAATTTTGCATCTTCAATTACACACGCCTAACTCATTGTAAAGATAAGACATATGTAGCAAGCTTTCTTGTTGGACTGTCTTTGGATTGCCAGCCTGCAAATAATGACCCAGAGACTTATTATTAATTATGAAAGACTGGCCTCTAGCTTAGGCTTGTGTCAACTAGCCTTATAACTTAAACTAATGCATATATTTTTAAATTTATGTTCTGCCAAATGGCATTACCTCTATTTCATTTTGTACTTCCTATCTCTTCTCTATGTCTGACATCTCCATCTTCTTCCCAGCATTCTCTTTCTACCTGGAAGTCCTGCCTATATCTCCTGCCTACCTATTGGCTGTTTAGCGTTTTATTACACCAATCACAGCAATACATATTTCACATGGTGTACAAATATGCCACAACAGACAGCAAGGCAGGATTCTTACATGAATGCAAGTGAACATTTCAGTCTGTTTTCTTCTTTCCTCATCCTCCCCCCCACCCCTGCCTTGAAGGTAGATTTTTTTTAAAAAAAGCAGCTGCAAAATTAACTATGGACTGATCATAGTTATTACTCAAACACAGAATTTAGCCTGGAAAATACAAACTTACCCGTTAGTCTTATGAGCCTCCCACAGCCCCTCTGTGGGAGAGCAAACCCAGGGTCTCCCATATACTAGCCTAACCCTACACCTTTGAGCTCTGTCTCCAGTCCACTAGTTGAATACCATGAAATCTCCCCCCCCCCCAATAAGGGAAATCAGAAAAAATACTTCAAGAAATGAAAATACATTCTTTTCAGAGTAAATAGGAAGGCAACAGGGGACAGTCCCCAAGTTGTCGCTAGAATACAACATGCCACCGTTCCTTCCTGATACAAGTCAGGGCTACGAGTTGCTCTGCTGAGAATTAGACAGTGACTTACAATACATGCTATGTTTGGCTTGATTAACTGGGCCCTCAAGAGTGCTGCCTTGGCCAAACTGTGCGGAGTCCTTGGCCTTCTCTTTGAACAACCAGAACACATTCTTTCATGTAGGCTGCTGTTGAGAGGAGCCTATACTCATGCTTTGCACTTGAAATGAAATAAAGCAGAAAGAAACAAGTAATTGCGAATCCCCATCCTGAAAACTTGCGAATAGCCTCTGTGAAGCCTGGCTGTCCACAGCTTTGAAGATATCTATGACTTTCTTTTTCTCTCTTTCCGATCATGCCATAAACTGAGTGGGACAGAAACATTACCACCAACACACTGAGTTTTACAATCTGAGTTGTTTAAAGCATCTCCCCTTAGACACTTCAGTACTCCTCACCTTTATGTGATGTGAGTGATATCATCCTGCTTTTTACCTGGACCGCCCCATATGGCAAAGGCTGTCCCAGACACATGCGTCTACTCCTGACCACAGGTAAACAAAACTGGTAGGTAACTTGCCTAAGGCTGTGTGATGTGTTTAGTGGGGCTGGGGCTAGAACACGGGCCCTTAACGCCAGCACTCAGAATACTTTTGGTACAGTCAGTATTTATAGAGAATGTTTTCCATCCCTTGTTATTATAATGAATGTGACTTTTGTCTTTCAAATATAATCTTTCAGTTGGGACTCCAAAGTACCAGAATCAGCTTTTGTCACCCAGTTGCCAAAATCTTAGAACTCAAACGAGTATAAAACTGCCTGCCTTTAATCCTAGCACTTGTGAGGCAGAGGCAGGCAGGACTCCGTGAGTTTAAAACCAGTCTAGGCTACACAGAGAGTTTGAGGTCAGCCCAGGGTTACATAGTGAGGCATTGACAACAAGGAGAGAACCAAAGTAACCAAAACCAAAACAAAACAAAACAGCTACAACAGCAACAAAAGAAATCAGTGTCATTAAGGAGGAAATTCTCATTCACAATGAAAAACATTAAGAAAGCCTTATTAGTCGACAGTACTCTGTATTTTAGCTGCATAGTAAGTAACCATGAAAACCGCCCTGGGAAGATCTTGCAGCTAAAGATATATAAGTGTTTAGACACAGTTGTCTGGGAAGGAGAACTCAGTTTTGTAACTCATGTATGATGTGAAAGAGAGAAAAGGTGAAAAAATACATGAAATGTGTGCCAGATGACACACATAAACATGATTTTTTTCATCTTAAGTTAGCACATCTGGTTGATTATCACCATGGTCATCCAAAGCATTATACAATATGTCATAAAAAGTACCCAAGCAGCCCGGCGGCGGTGGTGGCGCACACCTTTAACCCCAGCACTCGGGAGGCAGAGGCAGGCGGATCTCTGTGTGTTCGAGGCCGGGCTGGACCGACAGCCTCCAAAACAATACAGAGAAACCCTGTCTCGTAAAACCAAAAAAAAAAAAAAAAAAAAAGTACCCAAGCACCCACTTCAGGCTCGCAGCCTTCCCACCCTCATGCGAAACATTCCCTTAAATCTGTGACAATCATGAAGAACATGAGGTTGGGGAAGGGTAATTCATCTACCCTCCCTCATGCAGCTAACTGATTCTGTTTGGGTTGGTTTCAAAATTCACGTCAGAGAGGCTTATTCCTAAAGCGCTACTCTCTCAAATCATAAAGCCTATGCACCCAGTCTTTCTGGAGACAATGACTTACATTTATCACATCTGTGTCATTTTAGTGGTCTAATGGCCGTGGACATAGCATTGAAATTACTGCAGACTAACCCAAGACCAGACTGTTTCCCTTCCTTTATCCAGAATCGGCACAAGCATTCGAATGTACTGGAAGACATTCAGCCAACATTCAGTCATCACTGAAAAACATTCTCCAGCATCTCAGTAATCTAGACTCTCAGAGGTCATGGAGACCGTCGGGTAAATGTACCCACAGCTCTCTCGAGTCCCAGACATGCATATCTCATGTTTGGTTGTGGTGTACCTGTGCGATGTCTTCCATACCAGGTTTCTCGGAGAGGTGGTAGCTGTCCTTCTAGAGCTTGATTTTGGTCCTGCAGTCTTGAGAATGGGTATGAGCTCTTTTCTTCCAGGTTCCGATTTAATGTATAGAACACAGGGCCAGCCAAAGGAGTCTCTTCTTCTTGTAAAGGTGTGACTTTGATCACCCGGGGGTGAGGCTTGGAGCGGCCCAGGCCCATTTTCCTTGAAGATATTCAGAAGAAAATCGTGATGAGGGGGACTTGGGGACCTTTATGGGGCTTGATTTAGTTCAATATTTTCAGGAGTTTACCTCAGCTTACCAAAACAGGTGTTTCCTTCATGACATCTTTCCAGTTCTTTCCCCCTGACACTAACTTCTCTGGCCACTTCCTGGGAGGCTGGTTTCCATGGAGACGTCCCTTCAACTTCTACTTTGCCATTCCAGAACTAAAGAATGCAGTTAAACATTGACTTGGTTATTCTACTCTCTCAAAAACTCAGTGGCAGGGATGGAAGCTTCTATTGATAATTAAACAAATATCTAACCCCAGATTACTAACAGAGCTGCAGAGCATGGCTTTTGAGACGTCTGAGAACTGCCCTTTCACAGCAAACACTTTGGGAAGAATAGCTGAGAAGAGCTAGGGCACTGGAAATGAGAGGGCAGATGCTGATGAATTAGGGCCTTGTTAATCTATAGTTTTAATATGTCTTCCAGAAAAGAAAAGAAACAGGAGGGTGGAAAATGCTTCATTTGACTTTTCTGTCAATGACTTGACTCCCTTTGAAGGACATGAGTACATTGCAAGAGAATGGAAAGACAATAGAATTCCTTTCCCACCTCCCTGACAGGAACGAAGGAACGAATTTCTTAAATAAGTGGTCCAAATAAAACTATTTTCAAACAGAGCTCATTTATTATGTTTTTTCTAAATATATATTTTAAAATTTAAATTAGAAACAAGCTTGCTTCACATGTCGATCCCAGCTCCCTCTCCCACCCTTCCTTGCCCCTCTACCAGCCTGCCTAGCACCTCCCCAATCCCCACACCATTCCCCGTGAAGGGTGAGGCCCTCCATGGGGGATCTCCAGAGTCTATCACTTCATCTGGGGCAGGGCCTAGGCCCTCCCCCATATGCCCAGGATGAGAGAGGATCCCTCCATATGGAATGGGCTCCCAAAGTTCATTCATAGGCCATGGTAAACACTAATCTACTACACAAGTCCCCAGAGATTGCCGAGACCTCTTCACTGACACTACATTTAGGGGGATCTGGATCAGTCCCATGCTGGCCTCTCAGCCATCAGTCTGGGGTCCAAGAGCTCCCCCTTATTAGGTTTGCTGTCTCTGTGGGTTTCACCGGCACCATCTTGACCTCTTGACTCATCACTCCTCCATCTCTGTCACTGGGTTCCAGGAGTTCAGTTCAGTGTTTAGCTGTGGGTGTCTGCTTCTACTTCCATCAGTCACTGGAGGAAGGTTCTAGGATGGCATATAAGGAAGTCATCAATCTCATTATCAGGGAGGGGAAATTAAGGTAGCCTCTCCACTATTACTTACTTTGCCAGTTGGTATCATCCTTGTAGATCTCTGGAAATCTCACTAATGTTAGCTCTCTCCTCAAACCTATAATGACTCCCTCTAATATAGTATCTCTTATCCTGGTCTCCTCCATTCTCCCTCCCCCCCCACTCAACCTTACTGCTCCCCCATATCTTCCTCTCCTCTCCTCCTCCTCTCTTTTTCCCGGCCCCCTCTCCCCTCCCCCCATGTTCCCAATCTGCTCATGAGATCTCGCTTCATTCTCCTTTTCTGGGGTATCTTGCATATCTCTCTTGGGAACCTCCCTGTTTCCCAGACTCACTGGCAAAGGGATTGTAGGGCCGCACTCCCTTGATCCATGCCTAAGATCTATATATGAGTGAATACGTATTATGTTTGTCTTTTTGTGACTGGGTTGCCTCACTCAGGATGGTTTCTTCTAGTGCCATCCATTTGCCTGCAAATTTCAAGATTCCATTGTTTTTTCCCCCCCGCTGAGTAATACTCCATTGTGTAAATGTACCACATTTTCTCTATCCACTCTTCAGTTGAGGGGCATCTAGGTTGCTTCCAGGTTCTGGCTATTACAAATAATGCTGATATGAACATAGTGAAACAGACATCCTTGTTGTATGAATATGCAACTTTTGGGTATATGCCTAAGAGTGGAATTGCTGGATCTTGTGGGAGACTGAGTCCCATTTTCCTGAGGAATCTCCATACTGATTTCCAAAGTGGCTGTACAAGTTTGCACTCCCACCAGCAATGGAGGAGTATTCCCCTTTCTCTACATCCTCTCCAGCATAAGCTGTCATTAGTGTTTTTGATTTTAGCTATTCTGACTAAGATGATATTTCAGAGTTGCTTTGATTTGAATTTTTCTAATGGCTAATGATGTTGAGCACTTAAGTGTCTCTCAGCCATTTTAGACTCCTCTATTGAGAATTCTCTATTTAGTTCTGTAGCCCACTATTTAATTGGATCCTTTGGTGTTTTGGAGACTTGCTTCTTGAGTTCTTTATACATTTTGGAGATTAGCCCTCTGTCAGATGTGGGGCTAGTGAATATCTTTTCCCATTCTGTGGGCTGCCTTTTTGTCTTGCTGACTGTGTCCTTTGCCTTACAGAAGCTTCTCAGTTTCAGGTCCCATTTATTAATTGTCGATCTCACTGTCTGTGCTACTGGTGTTATGTTCAGGAATCTGTCTCCTGTACCAATTCGTTCAAGGGTACCTCCTAATTTCTCTTCTACGAGGTTCACTGTGGCTGGATTTATGTTGAGGTCTTTGATACATTTGGACTTAAGTTTTGTACATGGCGATAGACATGGATATATCTGCAATCTTCTACATGCCAATATCCAGTTATGCCAGCAACCTTTGTTGAAGATGCTATCTTTTTTCCATTGTATAATTTTAACTTCTTTGTTGAAAATCAGATGTTCATAGGTGTGTGGGTTAATCTCATGGTTTTCAATTTGATTCCATTGATCTACCTGTCTATTTTTGTACCAATACCAAGCTGTTTTCAGGACTATAGCTCTATAATAGAGCTTGAAGTCAGGGATGGTGATGCTTCCAGATGTTGCTTTGTTGGCTTTCCTGGGTCTTTTGTTTTTCCATATAAAGTTGAGAATTGTTCTTTCAAGGTCTGTGAAGAATTGTGCTGGAATTTTGATGGGGATTGCATTGATTCTGTAGATTGCTTTTAGCAGGATTGCCATTTTTACTATGTTGATCCTACATATCCAAGAGCATGGGAGATCTTTCCGTTTTCTGGTGTCTTCTTTAATTTCTTTCTTTAGTGACTCAAAATTCTTGCGATATAGGTCTTTCACTTGTTTGGTTAGTATTACCCCAAGGTATTTTATGTTGTTTGTGGCAACTCTAACAGGTGATGTTTCTCTGATTTCTTTCTCAGCCCTTTCATTGTCTGTATATAATAGGGCTACTGATTTTCTTGAGTAGATTTTGTATCTTGTCACTTTGCTGAAGGTGTTTATTAGCTGTAAGAGTTCCCTGGTAGAATTTTTTGGGTCACTTATGTAAACTATCATATCATCTGCAAATAATGAAAGTTTGACCTCTTCCTTTCCAATTTGTATCCCTTTGATCTCCTTTTGTTGCCTTATTACTCTAGCTAGAACTTCAAGTACAATATTGAAGAGATATGGGTAGAGTGGACAACCTTGTTTAATTCCTGATTTTAGAGGAAATTCCTTGAGTTTCTCTCCATTCAGTTTGATGCTGGCTGTTGGTTTGCTGTATATAGGTTTTATTATGTTTAGGCATGTCCCTGTTATACCAGATCTCTCCAAGACCTTTATCATGAAGGGGTGTTTCATGATAAACACCTATTTTGTCAAAGGCTTTTTCAGCATCTAGTGAGATGATCATGTGATTTTTGTTTCTCAGCTTGTTTATATGGTGGATTACATTGATTCATTTTGTATGTTGAGCCATCCCTGCATCCCTGGGATGAAACCTACTTGATCATGGTGGATGATTTTTCTGATATGTTCTTGGATTTGATTTGCCAGTATTTTATTGAATATTTTTACATCAATGTTCACAAGGGATACTGGCCTGAAGTTCTCTTTCTTAGATGTGTCTTTGTGTGGCTTGGGTATCAATATTATTGAAGCCTTGTAAAAAGAGTTTGGCAAAGACCCTTCTGTTTCTATTGCATGGAATACATTGAGGAGAATTGGTATGAACTGTTCTTTGAATTTCTGGTAAAATTTTGCACTGAGGCCATCTGGCCCTGGGCTTTTTTTGGTTGGGAGACTTTTGATGACTGCTTCTATTTCCTTAGGTGTTATAGGACTATTTAAATTGCTTATCTGTTCTTGATTTAATTTTGGTAAGTGATATCTATCCAGAAAATTTTCCATTTCCTTTAAATTTTTGAATTTTTTGGAGTATAGGTTTTCAAAATATGACCTGATGATTCTAGGGATTTCCTCACTGTCTGTTGCTATGCCCCCTTTTCATTTCTGATTTTGCTAATTTGCATGTTCACACTCTGCCGTTTGATAAGTTTGGATAAAGGTTTGTCTATCTTGTTGATTTTTCTCAAAGAACCAACTTTTTTGTTACATTGATTCTTTATATTGTTCTCCTAGTTTCTACTTTATTGAATTCAGCCCTCAATTTGATTATTTCCTGGCATCTGCTCCGCTGGGGTGAGTTTGCTTCCTTTTGTTATAGAGCTTTTAGTTGTGTTGTTAATTCTCTAGGGTGAGTATTCTCAGTTTCTTCATGTGGGCACTTAGTGCTATGAACTTTTCTCTTTAGCACTGCTTTCAAAGTGTCCCATAGATTTGGGTATGTTGTGTCTACATTGTCATTGGATTCTAGGAAGACTTTAATTCTTTTTTTGTTTCTTCTTTGACCCAGGAATGGTGAAATTGCACATTATTCAATTATTCCATTAGTTTGCAGGGTTTCTGCAATGTGTGTTGTTGTTCAATTCTAACTTTAGAACATGGTGGTCTGATAAGATAAATGGAGTTATTCCAGTTTTTTTGTACCTGTTGAGGTTTGCTATGTTGGCAAGTATGTGGTCAATTTTTGAGAAGGTTCCATGTGGTGCTGAGAAGAAGGTATATTCTTTTGTGTTTGGATGGAATGTTCTAAGGATGTCTGTTAGACCCAACCGGGTCATAACTTCTGTTAGTTCCTTTGTTTCCTTGTTAAGTTTCTGTCTGGTAGTTCTGTCTAATGGTGAGAGTGGGGTGTTGAAGTCTCCTACTACAAGTGTGTGGGTTTCATATGTGATTTGAGTTTTAGTAATGTTTCTTTTATGAATGTGGATGCCTTTGTATTTGGGGCATAGATGTTCAGAATTGAAACTTCATCTT